AAGGCAGACCTACATTCAACCCTGGGCTCTTTTGCACAACGCTTACCGTCCATGTAATATATGGAGCTACTATTGCGCCCCCCCAACCCCACTGGGATGGGTTACTTATTATAGCACTTTGGTTTTTGTGCTTGAACAACGCCACGTTTCCTAGTCTCTCCACCCTCACCCATTCCATATTTGTCAAGTCCAGCTTGTAAGGCAGAGGGTCTGAATGCATTTTATCAAGCATTAGCAGCTCCTCATTTAAAATCACCAACTGCAAATACGGAGTGCTCAAACTAGGGGTGCCCTAAAAATCCAGTAACATCAAGGTGGGATTAGGCCACAATTTAAAAATTCCAATTCCAGCACAATCAGTTAAAACATAATTTTTACCATTTAAAAACAGCTAGATCCATGATTAGCCATGGTTTGTCAGCAAACGAGTAGACAGTCCAATCCTCACCTCCGGCTTGACAAAAATATACAACTTCACCAGGCTTCTGAACAAACACCAACACAAATTCTGAAAGCACGGTTGAGTAAGCAAGGACGGTGCGAAATTCAGGTAAGAAGAAATGTTTAAAGTATTCAGGTAGAACAGGGAAATAGAGTTCCTCTCTTGTAATAAGATTTATGGCATCCAGTTTCAATTTTTTATCTTGCAGGATGACGCATCCACAAGAGAATCCCTAACAGGTCCTACCCACCAGATTAGGTGGCATTGTCTTGTACTTCGTTTTATCAAATATATTGTACAAGGAACATGCTCGCTTAGCATAAACAGCGATGAGGAAAATCAGATGAGGTTAAGATGCCAAGAATTTTTCCTTGTGAGCAACAGAAACAGACCTCCATGACTTGCAGACACCACCAAACGAGAGGTTGTTTATGAAATTCAGCCGCTTTGAGATCATACCAAGCATATCACCAGGGAGATTTGCCCACGATCTGGCATCTGTGTTGGTTCTGTGGTTCAATCTCCTACGCTTGCATGTAGTGAACCTTCTTTTTCTCTTTCCTTTCCTCACCATGACTTCTTTCAGCACAAGCAAACAGGAATTCATATCAATTCTAAATAAAAGAGGCAAATAATACAAAATTTCTAGCAAATAACACTCTTTGTCATGGGCTTGAGAAATTAATTATCTAGCCTTGACCTTTTGGGATGAATTCATGTGGCAAAGTAATTTAGCAGTAGGTGGGCCTTAAATCTGAATTAATTATGAAATATTTTCACAACTATTAACAACCAACAAGGAAAACTAGGGTTTAATGCGAAAACAGGGAATTGGTATATTGAACGGTCCATGCAACGTAATAGATAAAACATAATTACATGAGAACCTGATTGATGACAAGTAACTCCACGATTCAATGATACTAGACATTTCAAAAACTTCTCTTAGTGGTTTATCACTTCTAAGAATATTCTTTCAAAACTGCAATGTACCCATCAAATATACTAAGAAAAAGTGCCAAGAATTTTAATGCTATTGTGTAAACTTAAACTTGGTGTGGTGCTGTAGGTCATAGCCAGAATGAATATGCTCTACACATTTCAAACACAGGGCATTTTTCCACATATTTTTTCTGGTTATGTAGCATTGCTGATATTCTTTATACTCCCAATATGATAAGAGTTTCATTACAACATATATGTTCTTGTCAAGACTAGATTTGTAAAAATCACAGAAACATCAAAAACCAATAAGAGATTAAAAGCCAAAAGAAACCAACATTGAGTTACTTCAAATGATCAATCTATTAGTGCAAAGTAAGCTGGCTGAGGGTTAAACCAGCCAACATAAAAACATGGCCCAATAAGAGTTGGATCTCATTCCCATACATGGGACAAAGGTCATCCATTGATGTCCTTTGGTCTGGCTCAAATCCTATGGATCATTGAATGAATCAATGTCTCGTCATAAGATATAAGGGTTGCAATCAGGGTTGCAATCAGGAAAGTTAAAGCCATGACCAAGTAGGCCATAATCGATGATGAAACTCCGAGCATTAAATGAATCACGTCGATTTTATTTTATAGGCGTAACATGTTGACCGTGACGTGGGTCAACAAAAACAGTGTTCAATTTGGAAGAACAGTTAAAATACTCGACGCTACAAGCGTGTACATGTACTAAGTATGGCATGGTCCACATTTACGGCCCATACTAACAGATGGCAAACAATGTATCAAGGAGAGAAAGCATGGGCCATAAGACTGGACCCACCACTTCAATTCAAATTTCCCGCTACCGCTTGCCATGTTCAATCTTTTAATCTGGACCGCAGATCTGGGAGCGGAGCGGAGCCCTTAGCCGACAAACACGGCACCAAATGCGAAGGAGAGCACCAATCCGGGGACGACACGTGGCGCGGGGGGGGAGCGTCCCAGGTAATATTAGTGGGACGCTCCGGGAACCATATATAACTCCCTAACTCTCTAACATCAGTAAAGTTTTTAGAGAGTGACTTGCGTCATCAGAGGGAGTAAGTGACGTCATTGAGAGTGAGTTATGGCCTCAATGCGATGTCGTTTTATATATAATTATTCTCCCAACTCTATGAACTTAACCTTTATATAAGAATATGAATTATACATTCCGAATTCATAAACGAATTGTGTGATTGACAAATCGGAGAGACCGCTGCGCTAAAACCATTCTAAAATCATAATGTCAGGGGAGATCAACCCAGTCGGACTTACGGATGATCTTCATGAGAATGAAGAAGGTGAATTGGAAACCGAGATCATAGACGCAACATCGAACATACCGGTGTCAAACATATCCATAACCAATCCCAAAATAGGCGACGCAATGTGGCAAAAGCTTACATTCAAGTCAATGATAATTAACAAATGCAAACTAAGCTACAGACCACAGTGTCCATCTAATTCAACCGGTCGTGTGGAAGTTGAAATACGAGACACACGACTACGAGCAGATGATCAATTACAGGCCCGGTTTACCTTCCCAGTTACATGCCCGGTGGACATCACATATTTTGGAAATGCGTATGCTGCCGCAGACAAGAAAGGATGCCCATGGACAGCGTCATACAAATTGCTGAAAACCAATATCAACAACGATGTCAGATATTGCAAAATGAAAGCCACATTTGCGTCTCAAACATCGTCGTTCCCAGACGAAATTGCTTATAGGCCGCCATTAATAACTGTTTTGTCCAAAGTATTCACAAACAAGCACGTGGATATTTGGCACGTGCAACGCAGCGTCGTTGAAGCAAGGCTAACACACTGTCAGTCTGAATCGCGCTTTAGGTCCACAATCACATTATCCGCCCCAATGGGCCAATACGGCTCTTCGGCCCAAAGTCCAACCGTCCATCCGTAAGTTCAACTATTATTGTGCACCATTACACCTTGCAGGGTGGAGTCGGTGCAACCTAGTGCAATTTTCAGGAGTCAATTGACTATGGGCTGGACTGTCCAAATTGGAGACCTCATGTAAACTTCATATGAGGAACTATAACTATATATATTTGTAATCTTTGTTACAAATAACAAACTTTAAACAGCAAATATATTTAAAAACTTAGGTGGTGTTTGATAAACCAATTAAATACTTAAAACTGAATGTATTAAGTGAAATCAATTAAGTACGTTTGATAACCACAATTTGTATCACTTGAAAATCTAATTGACTGTTAAAATTGAAGCTAAAAGTAAAGAAAATTTAAGTAACAATATTCTTACTTAATGCTCATTAAATTTATAATTGTTTATGTAGAAGTATTGATGTGCACTATTATGACCTCACCATTACCAACGCCATCACCACCAATACCATTGACACCATCATCTCATTACCACTGGCACGGTCATGGCTACCACTACCACCTCCACTACATCTACCACAATCCTCCACCCTCCACCACGATCTTTCCACCACCACAACCATAGCCATCATTACACTGCCATTGTTACCACCACACCACTACCACAACTCCTCTACCTCCATTACACCACCCATCCACCATCACCAAAACCACTCTCTCTCCACCTCCATCATCACAATATAAAAGTTGATTAAAAAAATTGAAAATAATAAATTGTAAATTTCATACATATCAAATAAATAACTTATTTTAGTTTAACTCTTAATTTTATCGAACAAATTTTCACTTTAAAAAGTCAAACATTCAATATTCAGATTTCAATTTTTAATTTTATCAAACAACTCCTTACGCCACAAAAGCTAAGTCTTAATTAAACAATTGTAGGATTTACAAACTACCAAAAAGAGGTGGGGACAAAATTAGAGCACACAAAAAGTATTGGGATTGAACTCAAATACATTAAAACATCTATTAAGGTTCACGAAAAAAGCACACTTGATGAAACTAACCTAACAAACACAATGTACTTAGTAGAATACCACATCAGAAAAAGAAAATAATCATTATTGTATATTATGCAAATATAGAATACCCAACCTATGTTTTTTGAAACAGTGGATTTTATATTAATAACACGTGCCAATCAAAACCATCAAAAACTAATGGATTCAATAGCGTATGCACTTACCTCGAATGCTACCCCACACTCCACGCATTCAAAGCAAGACGATAAATTGGAATAAATTCTAGAAATCTAGTATCAACCGTGCAAAATTCGTGCATATACCATAAGATAATCAAATCAGAATCCAAAACAACAGGTAAATCACAATCTTCCTTTTGCATCTTCATCAATTAGGAGAAATTTGAGGCATTAAAATCTAGCTTCATTAACAACCTAAACAACATGTAAATTACAATCGTCCGATCTATATTCCTAGGGATTCCAAAAAATTATATGATTGATATGCGGTAACAGTGTGACAACACATATCTAATATCACAACACAGTTTCGGGAAAAAGAGCATACAAATTAGACGGTAACATAACAAATTGTGAAATTCAAGTATCTAATAGAAGTAACTTGTTATTTCATAAAGAAATAGAACTTAGGATGTGGAAAGAAGAAAAAGAAAATCACATGAAGTCATACCTGGAGTGATGATGAACTCAATTGTGGAGATGGAGAGGATGGCTACGGCGTGTGTTTGTCCCTCTCACAATTTATAGGGCCCAACCCAAAACCCTACTTAACAACATGCTTTATTACTAAAATGCCCTTTATGGTATGTTCAAAAAAGCTCTTCCAATATATACTTAAAAGCTAAGAAACACGGACACGGACACGACACGGACATGACGACATGTCAATTTTCAAAATACGCAAGACACGACACGTGAGGGAAACGCATGTTGATGTCTAACACAAACACAACACGAACACGTCACCTTCTTGTGTCCATGCTTCTTAGCTTAAAATGAAAGTGCAACAAAATTTTGAGAAATATCATTTTCACCACAAAAAAAAAACCCTCCTCGTGTCCATTCGTGTTCATGTTATAGCAAATAATGATATTCAACAAGCGTCCAACGTGCTTATGCTGATATCTATGATTGACAAGTGAATAATACTAAAGTTTGCATATTTTTGCTCAATTTAATGCCCCACCTGACACAACACTCATCGGACAGTTCTCAAAACATGTCAGACACACACCAAAATATGTCCTACTATTGTTTCAAATTTTGTAAACTCGAATATTCTTTAGACACTTGAAAAACATATATGTATCGCTTAGACACATACGAAACACATTACAAGTTTAAATAAAATAATTTGAAATTAAATGATAAAAGAAAAACAATTTAAATTTATACCTATTTTTCTATTTTAGATTTTAGAAATTAGTGTCACATTGCATTTAGTTATTATCTTCAAATTGAATATTCATATGCATGATATATAATAATGGTTTATCTTTATAAATAACATATAATAAATATATAAAACTATATATTTTGCATATGTCCCTCTGTGTCGTATTCTACATTTTTTGAAAAATTTTGAGTCGACGTGTATATATTCATGCTTCTTAGCTTAAAACTTCTAACTTCTTAACTGTTTTGTGATAGAACTTATATATTTTGAATCTTCTCTTAAAGATCTATCAAACAAGATCTATGTTGGCTTTGAAACTTTGAAGAGAAATAAAACAAAATTTCACTGTCCAACCTAGTGTTGACACATTAAAATTTGTTACCCTGCTAACATTAACTTGGACAATGAAATTTCATCACCACCATCACTAACTACTACAATGATCAAAATATTTCTATATTTTTTTACATCAATCTATTTATTATCTTAAATATAAAAATCAAATAAGCAAGAGCCAAAATTGATTTAAAAAATTCAACTTTTTCCAAAAATAATTAAATTAACTATAATAGTTCCTAAATATATATCTAATAGCCTATGAAACAATTTTCAAAAATTGATCTCCATTGATTAGTTTAAAAATAAATAAATCCGTACAAATATAAAAATGTTTCTACAACACCGTCACTACATTACCACATCACTAACCACAACAATGATCGCCACACTTCTGATTTTTCAAATCAAATTTCTTATGATCTTAAATATAAAAATCAAATTAACTAGAGCCAAAATTGATTATAAAAATTCAACTTACTCCAAAAATCATGAAATTAATTTTGGAAGTTCCTTAACATATGTCTAATAAACATATGAAATAGTTTTTAAAATTTCAATTCCATTGATTAGATTAAAAATAAAAATCACATATTAAAATTTCGTTGTTCGAATATAAGTTACTTTATTACTAAGAAGCATGGACACACTACAAATACGACACGGACAGGCTGATACATTAATTTTCAAAAAATGTAAGACACGACATGTTACGTTGGGGACACGCATGAAATATATAATTTTATATATTTATTAGATGTTATATATATGAATATATCATTCAAAGATAATAAAAAATGCAATATAACACCAATTCTTATAAATTTATATGATTTTTTGTTTTATTATTATATCTTAAGTAGTTTTGTTTAAACTTATAATTAGTTTCACATATGTCTAATCGATAGACGCGTGTATTTAAGCGATTGACACGTGTGTCCTCCAAGTGTCCAAAAAGTGTCCGGATCTTTAAAAAAATTAAAAAATAGGACACATCTTAAAGAGTGTCCTACATGTGTCCTAAGAGTGTCCAAAGAGTGTCGGTGTCCGACACATATACGTCACCTTCTTAGAAGTGTCCGTACTTCTTAGCTTTAATGTAATGTCCCCACTACCATCACCATGACTAACCACCACAATAATCATAACACTTTTGATCTTTCATATCAAATTTCTTATGACTTAAAATACACAAATCAAATAAAGAAGATATAAATTTGATTTTAAAAAAAATTCAACTAGCTCCAAAAATTATAAAATTAATTTTAGACATTCCTAAATATATGTCTAATATGTATATGAAACAGTTTTCAAAATTCAATCCTATTGATTGGATAAAAAATAAAATAAAAATTTTCAGACTGAAATTTTACTCTCATTTTATTGCGAAACAAAAATTAGGACAACTTTTTTGTGGAACTGAAATGGGAGAGACATACACTTCCTTCATCTATTGCAAGGGTAATGGAAACTATATGACTTCGTGTGGTGTCGCCACGAAAAGATCAACGATGACAATGGTGAGGAATGAGACAACATCAACATCGACGATAGTGAGGGACAAGAACACATTGGAGGGTCACATCATCCATGCCTCTCTTTTTCTCTTTCTAAATCGATACAAATCAATAGAGACCTATATAATGAGAGATAGTTCAAGAATTGGTTTTGTGTCCTTGTTGTGTGAGGAATCTATTTTGAAGGACTTTGTACACTAAACAACTATGTTGAGGGACTATTGACCAAAATTTTCTTTTTTAAAACCGTTGTCCCATGTCCATATTGTGACCGCGTATGTGTCTATGTTTGTGTTTGTGACCATTCCTTTCCTATTTTAGGGTTAGCCTAGGCTAAATATTTATGTAATTCTTTTGTATTTGTCACACAATTGAATATACAGTTTCTCTTTTCCTTTGAAATTTTCAATTCTGCTTTTTAGCTTGGAACCAAATAACTAATGAAAAATGTATGTGTATCTGAATTTTTGAAAATCATTGTGACTCGTGTTCATATCCGTGCTTGTATTCATGCTTCTTAGCTCAGAACCATACAACTTAAGAAAAATGCATGTATAAATATAAATGACCAGAAAAGGACAAGTTGATTTTGCATAATTATTAATCCATTTATAGAAATAACATAATTAGAATTCTGAGATTATAAATTATAACTAGGATACAACAAACCATGTGGAGAAATATGTAAAACCAGAAGTACATGTATCAACCTGCATAACTTATGTCCCTTATTGTATAGAGAAAACAAAGAAAATTACTGGAACTAATTGTATGCAATTGAACAAATTCCTAACAGCATATTAAAGCTTAACATTTACAGATTTGACAAGGACATTTAGTATATGGATGTGCACGACCAATCAATTTCTATATCTTTCTATGTCAATGATCTGCTGATATTTTAATTTCAATTTGCAAAGCACCAAATCACTAATTTATCTTGTCAGCTACATTCAAAATGGCGATAAAATCTATGAGATTATCCTAGAATTTAAGAAAGTTAGCCAGACAAAACAAATATGTTAACATTAGCACAGACTGGACTTCCTCCTTGAAAAGTCGTTCTCTATTAGTTGTTAAGTATTCAGCATATGTGAATAAGCTCAGATAATGAAAAAATAAGCTACTAGCATACAACCTGTAATTGGGTGGTGTGTGTGTCGCTGTGTGCCAGGTTGGAGGGAAGGAGTTACCTGAACCAAAGAAATACTGGTGACAACCAGTTGAAGCGAGGAACGGTAAAGTTGTTGAGAAGGACATGAGAATTGTTTCCAGCTTTGAGTTCTCCAGAATATACATTCAATTTCATGATGTGCATATTTTGCAGAGGAAACAGGATGACCTGGCTCTGTCAAAATGTTCCCAAAATGTGCATGTCAGTATAATGGGCCCACCAGAAGTGATGACCAAAAAATTATGTCAAAGCAAGGCATTTCGGGAACTAAAATGCTTTACAAAGAGAACAATATCCTCAAATATAATTGAATCCTGAGCAAGAACAGTCCAGCAGGTCATTCATCTCTGGTTTTACCATCTTATTTGAGGGATTAAATACTGTGCTTTCTCAATCGATCTCCTCAATTCGGAAAGAGCAATTAAAAAGAAAAAGAAGTTAAAAGTAAGATATGATAAACATATACAAAAACAATTACTGATACCTTACTGTAAGCAACATCCATGAACTAAACCAGGGAACTAAAAATGACATCAACTCTTGTTAAAGAAAAAGGGATAGGCGGTCTAGGAACACTTATATAGGTTAAATTGAATTACAGTTTAATATATCTAGAAGCAAAGAAGGTTTGAAGCAGCAAAAACTCTCAAACCTGGAAAATGCAGGAGCTTTTCAGCTAACGTTGCAAAATTCCCTAGAAACAACCTCAAAAGTAGTCACCATTTGGCAATGGCCATACGAAGCAGCACATATGAAAATAGATAAGAACAATATCATCATTACAATTTACAGGAGTAAATAAATAATATTTTTTTAAGTGAAAGCCTTTAGATTTTCCATCACTGATCATGATGGAACCAAGCTTAGGATATGAGCATACTGCAAGCACTAAGTTGGAATCAATAAAACCTATCCAAATAAAGAGAAATATACTTGATAATAATGTGAGAGAGAACGAGTTACTTCCATTGAAGGAGGATTGACGAGGCACAAGCACTTTGAAAAAGCAAAAGCAATTAAATATTATACTCAAGTGAACACCAAGAGAACTTTTATGAGCTGCCACATACAACAGGTTAGATTGGTGCAAGATAACAAACATGCTGACCTTTGTTATCTTCAAGATTATCAATCTTCAATTTTCTACTTTGTACTCCTAGTAAAAAACTACATCCTGTTCACCAAAAAATTAAGTGCTAAACCAAAAAAACTAAAAGTAGCAAATACAAGAAGTGTCCCCCAACGGTAACACCAAGGTATGTTCTGCATATTGCCAAATTACATGCTGCAGCCTACATGAAAACAATGAAAGCAATAGAGCTGAATGGCGAAAAAGGATTCATGTAGCCAACCCCACCTAACTGGGACACAAGGCTTAGTTTGGTTTGGTACACACGAGTAGTGACACCTAATCTTCAGCTTATCTGAGTAAACAGACCACACTTCACTACCTCCTCAAGGTAACATGCACCCCATAGTATGAACAATAATTCATAATCCTTCCTAGATGACATAACAACAAAATACTGCCACATGATGCATTTTTCAAACTATATTTGGCAATGTGGAATTCACACCTTGGAATTGGAATTGGAATTGGAATTGGAATTGGAAACGACCTTGGTTCAAATTTTGAACTAAGATAATTTTCAACTACAAATTCAGGGCTTGAATTCCATGTTGCCAAATAGAGAAAAAGCAAATCCCACAAAACCTTACGACCACATCACATCACATTTCCAATACACAATTTAAAATGTGAAACATGTATTGTATATAAATATGCATATACATATATGTGTGTATGTGTATATGTAATGGAAAAATAAATAAATAAAATAAGAAATTGTGATTGTAATGAAATTAAACTCACAGATTGAGGAAATCAGCAAGACAAACAAGAGAACTAAAAGCATCACTACACATAATTACAAAAACAATCATTGCAGTTTTCCACAAAGAAATAAAAGCTTTTGGCACCAAGCACACAGACATTGAATTAATCAACACAAAAAACGTAATTGTAAACCAAAACTCGAACAATCATCTGTGATAACTGCAAAAGACAACATAATTTTCAAATCAATCAAGTAAACTAGTGAAAATAAATTTAAAATGATGGACTGTTTGGCTGGCAAGAAAACTGAGGAAAAGCTATTAGTCTTTTGAGTGCTTTGTGTTCACTTCAAAGAGAAAATCTATGCCCTCAATCAAATCACTATTACCATATTTTTGTTCATGGGGTCTGAAGAACTCGAAATGCATATTGCACACCATACATCATCTCACTACACACCATTCAATGCTACGTTTACACCCCCATCAATTCATAACCCTAAACAGCCACCACCCATGGCTGCCACCTCTCCTTCCGCTGCCACCTTCTTCTTCTTCTTCTAAGGACGTTGGGGGTGGTGGAACGGTGGCGGCCGGTGGCGGTGAGGTGGGAGTGATGTGTCCTTAATGGTAATTTCATTGAGGGCAGAACCATAGTTACTGCATGTGCGAAGGGAAATTCTATTTCCACCCAGCTGATAAACTTAAGGGAAATTTTATTTGCACATCTTCGACACTCTCAGCATACACTATTACTCTCTTTTTTTTATATTACAATTTTGTACCACAGTAAAATTACCTTTTTGGACAAATTTCTATACCCTAATCTCTCAACACACACCATCATCATCAGCAGCCTCCGCACCTCCGGTTGCAATTCTCAACCACCAACACCACGACTCCTCTCTTCTATTACCATCACAGCCCAATCTCTGCTACCGGCCATTGCCATCACCAACAATTCCTACGACCATAACCAATAGAGAGAGATCTGGAAAACATAGATCTAGGGTTTGAAGAAAAAAAAGAAGAGAATAGATGAGGCTAGCTATGGCGGATGCGATGGTTGATGCGACTGACTTTTCACCTCCATCTGTTGTCCGACGACTTCCCCCTCTGGCCACTATCACAACCCCTATCGCAACCTTCCAATCGTGCTACCCCACCACCCATCGCCTTTCCAAACACCGCTATCGCAACTCACATCGCCGTAACCCACCACTATACGACAGGAGAGAGGGAGAGAGAAAGAGAGAGATATCTAATGTCAGGGTATAAGAGACTAAACGAGGCTGATGCAGGAGATGGGAAAGGGGGCGACGACGAGAGGTGGTAGTAGATTGTTGTGGCCTTAGTGGTGGTGGTAAGGTGATATTAAAACTGCGATGGTGGTGGTAGTGATTTGGATTAGGATTAGGATTAGGATTAGGATTAAGGTTTAGGTTTAGGCTTGGGTTTGTTGAAGAAGAGGATAGTTTGGTATTACTTAAAAAATTAAGGGTGCCTAGTGAGATAAAATCAAACTTTTCAATTGTGGTGTGAACAGAGTAAACAGGAGAACGTAGTGTGAATTGAAAGGTTTAGGGATGTGTAAATAGAATTATCCCACACTTAATGAAAAATTAATTTAATAATAAGTATATCCTAATTAAAAATTACTATAATAGCTATTGATTAACACTCTTAATATTATATATATAAATTCTCTATACATATCTTTTAGAAGTAAAAATATCTTAATATACACTTTTTGAAACAAAAAAATTAAACCGTAATTTTTCTTTTATAGTTACTTTACTTCTTACACACTCTATACTCCTCTCTGTTATTTGCAAACAAAACATTTTTCATATTGCTTTAATCTTTAAGTTTATACTCAATTATTAACATCATTTAATTATTAGTTCAATAATTTTTACTTGATTTTGATATGGAAGAGTTACAAACTTATGAAAGTTCAAATTCAAGCAATGGTGACAGCAAAATCAGTGATGAAAAGGTAAAATTGTGTAGTATTTTTTTAAATTTTTTTACGTTTTTTAGTCGGAAAGGCAGTATCGAATTTGTTGAATTAATTCGGAAATAAAATACCAAAATAATATGAATAGTTCGTTCCTTAAAAATCGATTTTTTTAATGTATTTCGATTTTGGAGTGCCGAATAAAATTAATAATTTCGTCATTAGTGTTCCGAAATTTGTTATTATTTCGGTTTTTTATTTCTGAATTTTTTTATTTAGTTCGGATCTGTAGAACCGAATTAAAATTTTCCCCCTTCTCTTCAGATGGCATACACTGAAGAACCTGAGATTCGATCGGATATTATGATGGATTGTGCTAGCTATTTTACAGCAAAACAAGTCATTTTTAACATAAATTTTGTAAGTTCAAAAATTTGTATTAGTTAGTTTGTTTAGTTTGTTATTATGAAAGTTGTGTGACATTGTATGTAGGTTTTCGACAACAAAGATGAATTGTTCACTTGGGTACGTGAGTTCAAAAGGATAAATGGCTTTGTTATTATTATAAGGACGTCGGATTATGATGGCGGTCGTAAGAGACCAAGAATTTATCTTGCTTGTGAGCGGAGTGAGAAGTATAGATTGCGTAAAAAGTTGAAAGATGACCCAAAAAACTTATTGAGACAAACTGGTACGAAGAACTACGAATGTCCATTTGATTTGAGGGCATTCAAGTTGAAAACAAACGATGAATGGACATTGAATGTAGTTTGCGGGCTGCATAATCATCCAGCTGCGGAGTATCTCTAAGGACATTCATATGCAGGGAGATTGTCAGCTAATGAAAAGTCACTATTAGTTGATATGTCAAAGAGCCTAGTAAGACCAAAAAAGATACTCATTACACTCAAACAGAGGGATGCCCTCAATACGAGCACAATGAAGATAATTTACAATGTACGACATCGATGTAGGGTTCTACAGAAAGCTGGTAGATCCCAGATGCAACAACTGCTGGGTGAATTAGCGAAATATAAGTACATTGAGCGTCATCGAAGTGAGGAAGGCTTTATGACTGTCACGGACTTGTTTTGGGCACATCTAGTGAGTTTGGATTTGCTTCGTACATTCCCTCGTGTGTTGATTATGGATTGCACATATAAGACGAATAGATATCAGCTTCCTCTTCTTGAAATTGTGGGAGTAACATCAACTCTTATGACATTCTCTGTGGCTATCGCATACTTGCAAACTGAGCGAGTTGATAATTATGCATGGACGTTACAAACATTGCGTGATCTTATGGACGCCAGCATTTTACCTAAAGTCATTGTCACAGACAGAGAGCTTGCTTTGATGAATGCCATTGACAACACCTTTCCGAATGCTCGACATTTGTTATGTTGTTGGCATATTAATAAGAATGTATTGACAAAATGCAAGAAAATGTTTGAGACAAAAGAAAAATGGGACAAGTTTAACACTGCATGGAACTATTTGATATTGTCATCGACTGAAGAAGAACACAATGATCACCTTGCAACACTACATAAGGATTTCAGTAACTATTCGGAGGCAATCAAGTATGCTACTGTGAGTTGGTTGAATCTGTATAAAGAAAAATTCATTGCGGTACATACAGACATGTGTATGCATTTTGGCAATGTTACAACCAATCGGTAAGATTTTTTTTTTAATTTATTATAAATCATATTGTAATTTTTAATTATTATGCTTGACTATTTTGGTTTACATCCATATGAACAGGGTTAAGAGTTCTCATGCTAGATTGAAAAGGCAACTAGGTTCAAGTCAAACGACATTTGAGGTTTCATTTGAAAAAATACATTGTCTACTTGAGTTGTAGCACATTCAAGTTAAAGCATCATTTGAGAAGAGTTTAACAACTGTACAACATCAATTCAAACCTTCTCAATTCAGAGAGCTCCGGGTAATGTGTCTATTTGTGCATTGGAGTACGTGTTGGCAGAGAGTAAGAGAGCAAATTCAGTTGGAATTGATGTTGCAACATGTGGGTATGTTCTTAGGCGCACACATGGTTTACCTTGTGCTCACGAGATTGCAGATTACATGAGACAAGGCCATCCTATTCCACTTAATAGCATACATGTACATTGGACGCGCCTTACTATATGTGTGCATAATCCGAAGGAACAGAAGTTGGAATTGACTTGTATCCCAGAACTTGAGTTGATTTTGAAGCGTTTCGAAGAGTCTGATATTGCCACGCAATTGGATGTGTTGAAGAAGTTGAGGGAAATTGCAAATCCAGCGAGCACTTTTCTTATTGAGCCCGATGTGAAACCTAATCCACGTCAAGGACATAAGAAAATTAATATATCTTGTTGTCGTGACCTGTGTGCATTTGAGTTGGTTGACGATGAGCATGATAGCCAGAGCACATTAGCTTCCAGTCAGTCATAGAAAAAGAGAACTTCAAAAGTGCATGAGAAGAAGCGGAATGTGAAGACAAAGACATATCGTAGAAGAACAAGTTTATCGAGTGCATATGCTGCTGACTTCCCGCCTATGTTAATACCATTCATAAAGTTGATGAAAGACGTAGATGGTGATGGGAATTGTGGATTTAGAGCTATTGCAGGTTTACTTGGTCTTGGAGAGAATGATTGGGTGCAAGTTAGGCATGATCTACTACTTGAATTGAATAATCATAGAGATGAATACGTCGTACTATATGGGTCGCATGAGAGGGTTAAGGAGCTGACACACATCCTTTTATATTTTGAAAATAGCCCAAGCTTTGATCGTTGGATGACTATGCTTGACATGGGGCATCTTATTGCATCATTTTATAATGTAGTCTTGTACCACTTGTCATTGCAACAGTGTCTCACTTTCTTACCTTTGAGATCACCGCCAGTAACCCTAGCTGATCGTCGCAAGATTGCCATTGGATTTGTCAATGGAAATCATTTTGTGCAGGTAAAAGTTATGAAAATAACTAAATATTGTTGTCTAATATTTGTGTAATTGTAAATTTTATGTATTTGGTAAAGATATGTAATTTTTTGGATGTACGTGCAGGTGTTTTTGGAAGCTGGTCATCCAGTTCCTCCCATTGTCGTGCTTTGGCGAGTTCACCATCACCCTTGTGCGTTAGAATGCATATATTAGACGCGTTCAAAAATTTGAAGACAACATAGGACTTAATGTAGCTACTCGAGAGACATTTGATGTAGTTGACATAGATTGAGGTATTACAGAGTAGTAATGACAGCTTTAAGTCATTAGTTTTTATGATTTACTAGCATAGAGTAACGAGATAGATATCATTTTGCCATTGGATTTTGTAATGGTCAGTTTTTTTTTTAAAGATAGAATATTATATGCGTTATAGTTCTCTAATTTATGGAATGGATGTCATATTATTTTTACATTGTCTGAACACAAAACGTAATAAAAATAATATTAACCAAGTGCAATTGCTGTTAAAAAAGTAATAAGATTAAACAAGTATGTAAAAAATAAATATATATACACAATAATAGTTCAATCCATCCATACCATCACAAACTACATGTGTGCTTGTACATAATCCGAAAAATACATAATCCGAAGATAATAATAATATTTGTCTCCTTATACATCCACCAACATCATCAGAAACTACTTGTGTTAACATTATGAACTACTATTAACTACGTGACCGGCGAGTGTAATGTGCTCCAAAACGATGTGCAGTGGAAGAGCTGGGTGCAAACCGACCCTGAGTGGATGTGTTGGATGCAGCTTCACTAATGTGTTGATCTTGAAGAAGTTGTTCGATTGCATCAATCGCGTAGTAAAGCCTACCAGGATGTTGAACATTGTCCTCATAGCCAGCCTCAATGAAAGGATGAGTAATCTAATGTATCTGTGACATACGCTGCATTACGAGAACAAATATAACATTATGTACAAACTTGTAATAGTTTACATAAATAATTTGCAATGTAAATGAAAAAAGTATACCTGTGCGTCTTAGCTAGGATATTGATAATGATGGATATTCGGGTCCACTTGAGAACGACGCGCTGGGTTTTGTACATACATATGGGTAATGGTTTGGTACCAATCCATGTAACCAGGAACACAATCCCAAGGTTGCCATACCGGTGTACTCCTCCTCCGATCAGACAACACATGGTTGTTCCATGCCTCCCAAATGATGTCCAAGTATGCATATATAACATTTGTAGCGTGGAGCTGTGGCTCATTGAGAAGCCCGTATAGGGCCAAGTGGTGGATTAGGGATTGTCTGTACTCTGCCAAACTGTCTCAACACTCTATCAGGGTGATATGGTTCAACTACTTCCAAACACTTGAGACAACCGTGGTAGAACGTAACTGGATGACATGGATGGACATCTCTACAACTCTGGTACGAGTCCCAAATAACCTACAAACAATAAAAACTATAAGATATGACAACTGTAAATTTTGTATGATATAGAGTTTCAAATTTTGAAGGACTTTTCAACTTACATCATGTATACCCAACCTATCAAGCTCCTCTCGAAAAGCCTGCAACTGTGTCTCTTCACTAGACTCTCTCCGAGGAGTCCAACGGTAAACATGTGGCATGTCTCGAGTGTAATTCATATTCAAGTGTGGTTGGAATCCACGAAAGTGCTCATAAATCCATCCCTCAAGGAGTGTCATGTAACCGGCTATTTGTTTTACGCCGGACCTGCTAGCGTACCCCAACTGCCTATATAAGTATGCCAATGCAGCAGCACGCCAAGCATATGAAGATACAATCATCAAATCGGACAACAAACTCAAATAAACAACAAGGACCCTAGTACAAGTCTTATCACTGAAAAGTGTACAACATAACAAAAATAGCAAGTATGCTCTACCTGTACATGCAATTCTTTCTATTGAATCATTGTCTGTGACATTATGAAAGTGTGCCCTCAACCATTTAAGCCTCACTGAATTGCCTCCAGCACTACATATCTCATGTCTGACGTCTTGCTCATCAATTTCCAAGGTATTAACTACTAATGCAATGGCCCACCTTTCTGACAACTTACGCACACTAATAGATTTGCCTATAATGGGAAGCCCTAGGATAGTAGCGACATCGTCCAATGTGATAGTCATCTCTCCAACAGTCAAATGGAAGGTGTTTGTCTCTGGTTGTCATCTCTCAACAAAACTAGACACTACAATTTTATTGACAAAACGGTACGTGCAACGAGCTAATTGTGTAAGTCCTGACATCTCCACAATGTTTACAAATGTAGCGTTGTTTCCTTGTTCCCACCACGGTCACGAACGAATCTTAGATGAGTGATTATGACACTTTAGGGCCCCCCTTTCATCAGCACCATTCCAAATAGTTGCGGCAAGATGACTTTTAAAACTTTTAACGATTGATGGATCAGTTGGATCTCCCAGAAATGGCTGAGTAAGGATATCTTCAACAACAATGTCAGCATCATCACCAGTAGGGTCATCATCCATAGCAATATCATCCATAACTGGTGCACCATGTATAGGATCATCATCCATGGCAATGTGCATGTCATCATCATGCACTCGGGCATGTCCACGTCCACGTCCACGTCCACGTCTCTCTAATTCACGGAGTCTTCTGTTCGAAGCTATTACTGACCGACGTTTACTAGGACCGACATCCATCTGCATAAGAAAAGTTGTTCTTATCAACCCAATATAATGAAACATAATAAGCACTCCCATAAAAGGATCACATCAATGCGGGTAACAAGTAGCCTAACCATGCCACCTTAATGAAATCTAATACGCAATTATAAACCATTAAATTCACAATTTGGATGATGTGAAATTAACAAAATAAGTTAAATACATAACCCTATTACTTATGAAAGATTTAGACTAGGATTTGTTGAAAAATTACAATGCAAACATGGATATAGTAAAACTATTTGTATTCTATACACACCATTCATCAATTAGTTTGGTTGATGTTCTCAACATGCGAAAAACAGATTAACTTCATTTCAGCCAATTTACCAAGGCAACATGGTCATTAATCAATACCAACATCATTTTTCAAACAATCAAAGGACTGCCCATCACTTGTCTTTGTACATGCCATTGATTGTAAACTTCTTGAAGTTGTAAGCATACAACCAAAGACCAAATTTGGCACCAATTTCAATGCTTTGAAATGACAAACCCCAAAGGCAAAATAACTCAAGCTTTAATACTCTATATAATGCAATTGTTTTGTTCAGATATTTAGTTAACAAAATTTATGAAGACCCAACTACTAAGCTAACAATATCATGTGGAAATACCAATACTGCACAGATTTTTGTTTCTATTGTTATGCATTCAATTTCGTGAAAAAAAAAAAATACATAAACATACCCATAAAATAAAATTGTTGAAAAAGAACCTAAAGTAAAACAAATATTGGTGGCCTATGTAATTTGGTTCTATATCATATATTACCCAAAAAAAAAAAACCATTCGGCACTTCAGGACCGAAAATACAAACATATTTCAACAATGAAGTACCGAAATTATTGCAGTTATTCAGAATTAAAGATCCGGAAATATATAATGTATTCGGAATTAAAAGGGCGAACTCATGTATTTTTTTCGGAATTCATTGGTCGAAATTATACATAATATTCGGAAATCAAGGGCCGAATGAAACACACATCTTCGGCAACCCAGTGCCGAATGAAACACACATCTTTGGCAACCCAGTGCCGCAATCTACACAGCACTTATAGCTACGGGAAAAACATACTTTTATGCCAATGGAGTGAAGAGAGATCCGAAAATTGTCAATGTAATATCAAAATGATAAATGTAATAATAAAATTGAAATCTCCAATACTATTGTGAAGGGAAAAAAAAGTGCCTAGCTTTTTTGGACTTTTTTTTTGGTGTTTGTGATTAGTGAAACTTTTTTAAAATTTATCCAATATTTAAATTTTTAAAATTTTTGAAGGGCTTCTAATCTACAAGCATTAAAAAGTTTGTAAAAATTCACAAAAGATTTAAATTAAAAAAAAAAAAAAAGTTGCTAAACCAATTGCGATCAGTCCATAATCTTAATTGGAGGGTTGTGTTCGAGACATGGGGCTCACAATTGGTTTCATTTTAATTATCCAAACCGTTCATTTTATGATATTATCACTAGGGGCGGAAGCACGTGAAGTCCAAGGGGATCATATGTCATCAAGGGCGGAGGCCTGTGAGCTCAGGGGTCATGTGCCCCCTATCAACTTTTGGGAAATTTTAGTTGTGCCTCTAACAAAAAAAATATATTTCAATTTAATCTTTTTAAATAATGTCTTGAAATTTTATATCATTATTTTCTTGACTTTATTTTTTTTAAAATTTGTCACTTTAAATATTTAATTATGCTAATTTTTTTTTTAAAATTTACATTCGAGAAATATTATATGTAAATAATTTTTTGTCACTATTTTATATCACATCTTATATAAATGCTCATAATTGGTTAATTTATTTATAGATAATTATTACGTAATTAATGACAACTAATAATATATTATCATATAATTCAGTGATTCAAAATGGCAAAAAAAAAAAAAAGTGATAAATAATAGCCCCAGTATATTATTCTCTCATTTCTTTCTCTATGCCTCTCTATATTTTTTTTTTTTGGATGTGCATATTAATATAATTTTGCTATCATATTTTATGAAGGCATGTGATTGATTATTTTTTAAATCATGATGATCACCATACATAAAATCAAATTAATAATAAAGATAATGATCAATTAACTTGAGCTTATATTTAAATGAGAAATGATACCTAGCATTGCTGTAAATGAAAGATTTAAATATACATTTTGCATGGTACTAGTTTTTAGTCTTTGGATTCTGATTTTTATTAAGATTTCAATTTAATGGTACCCCTTCTAAGCTAAAATTCTGGCTTCGCCATTGTGTCACTCACACACAAAAAAGAAGAAGAAGATCGATTTGATAATTAATTTGTCTCCAAAAATGGATGGAAAGTGTATTTTTTAAAATAGATCATCCATTTTATTGTGACAATAGCGATGAATTAAACAAATTATAATTATTAGATCAATTTAATTTTTTTATGAGTGATATACATGAAGAACCTTACAAAATAGAATGTTTAGATATCAAAATGGAATATGTGGTGGGAATCCAAAACCTATTTTTTTTTAAAAATGTAGGCTCAATTTGGTTTAATTTTTGAATCATGACTTGAATTTTGAGTTTTAAAATTTTAAAATAAGTTTTGAAAAGAGAAAATTTGTTTCGTTATACAATTTTTACTTGATTTTGATATGGAAGAGTTGCAAACTTATGGAAGTTCAAATTCAAGCAATGGTGACAGCAAAATCAGTGATGAAAAGGTAAAATCGTGTAGTATTTTTTTAAATTTTTTTACGTTTTTTAGTCGGAAAGGCAGTATCGAATTTGTTGAATTAATTCGGAAATAAAATACCAAAATAATATGAATAGTTCGTTCCTTAAAAATCGATTTTTTTAATGTATTTCGATTTTGGAGTGCCGAATAAAATTAATAATTTCGTCATTAGTGTTCCGAAATTTGTTATTATTTCGGTTTTTTATTTCTGAATTTTTTTATTTATTTCGGATCTGTAGAACCGAATTAAAATTTTCCCCCTTCTCTTTAGATGGCATGCACTGAAGAACCTGAGATTCGATCGGATATTATGATGGATTGTACTAGCTATTTTACAGCAAAACAGGTCATTTTTAACATAAAATTTGTAAGTTCATAAATTTGTATTAGTTAGTTTGTTTAGTTTGTTATTATGAAAGTTATGTGACATCATATATAGGTTTTTGACAACAAAGATGAATTGCTCACTTGGGTACGAGACATTGGAAGGATAAATGGCTTTGTTATTATTATAAGGACGTCGGACTATGATGGCGGTTGTAAGAGACCAATAATTTATTTTGCTTGTGAGCGGAGTGAGAAGTATAGATTGCGTAAAAAGTTGAAAGATGACCCAAAAAACTTATTGAGACAAACTGGTACGAAGAACTGCGAATGTCTATTTGATTTGAGGGCATTCAAGTTGGAAACAAACGTTGAATGGACATTGAATGTAGTTTGCGGGCTGCATAATCATCCAGCTGCGGAGTATTTCTAAGGACATTCATATGCAGGGAGATTGTCAGCTAATGAAAAGTCACTATTAATTGATATGTCAAAGAGCCTAGTAAGACCAAAAAAGATACTCATTACACTCAAACAGAGGGATGCTCTCAATATGAGCACAATGAAGACAATTTACAATGTACGACATCCATGTAGGGTTCTACAGAAAGTTGGTAGATCCCAGATGCAACAACTGCTGGGTGAATTAGCGAAATATAAGTACATTGAGCGTCATTGATGTGAGGAAGGCTTTATAACTGTCACGGACTTGTTTTGGGCACATCCAGTGAGTTTGGATTTGCTTCGTACATTCCCTCGTGTGTTGATTATGGATTGCACATATAAGACGAATAGATATCAGCTTCCTCTTCTTGAAATTGTGGGAGTAACATCAACTCTTATGACATTCTCTGTGGCTATCGCATACTTGCAAACTGAGCGAATTGAAAATTATGCATGGGCGTTACAAACATTGCGTGATCTTATGGACGACAGCGTTTTACCTGAAGTCATTGTCACAGACAGAGAGCTTGCTTTGATGAATGCCATTGACAACACCTTTCCGAATGCTCAACATTTGTTATGTTGTTGGCATATTAATAAGAATGTATTGACAAAATGCAAGAAAATGTTTGAGACAAAAGAAAAATGGGACAAGTTTAACACTGCATGGAACTATTTGATATTGTCATCGACTGAAGAGGAACACAATGATCACCTTGCAACACTACATAAGGATTTCAGTAACTATTCGGAGGCAATCAAGTATGCTACTGTGAGTTGGTTGAATCTGTATAAAGAAAAATTCATTGCGGTACATACAGACATGTGTATGCATTTTGGCAATGTTACAACCAATCGGTAAGATTTTTTTTTTTTAATTTATTATAAATCATATTGTAATTTTTAATTATTATGCTTGACTATTTTGGTTTACATCCATATGAACAGGGTTGAGAGTTCTCATGCTAGATTGAAAAGGCAACTAGGTTCAAGTCAAACGACATTTGAGGTTTCATTTGAAAAAATACATTGTCTACTTGAATTGTAGCACATTCAAGTTAAAGCATCATTTGAGAAGAGTTTAACAACTGTACAACATCAATTCAAACCTTCTCAATTCAGAGAGCTCCGGGGTAATGTGTCTATTTGTGCATTGGAGTACGTGTTGGCAGAGAGTAAGAGAGCAGATTCAGTTGGAATTGATGTTGCAACATGTGGGTATGTTCTTAGGCGCACACATGGTTTACCTTGTGCTCACGAGATTGCAGATTACATGAGACAAGGCCATCCTATTCCACTTAATAGCATACATGTACATTGGACGCGCCTTACTATATGTGTGCATAATCCGAAGGAACAGAAGTTGGAATTGACTTGTATCCCAGAACTTGAGTTGATTTTGAAACGTTTCGAAGAGTCTGATATTGCCACGCAGTTGGATATGTTGAAGAAGTTGAGGGAAATTGCAAATCCAGCGAAAGGTTTTCTTATTGAGCCCGATGTGAAACCTAATCCACGTCGAGGACATAAGAAAATTAATATATCTTGTTGTCGTGACCCGTGTGCATTTGAGTTGGTTGACGATGAGCATGATAGCCAGAGGCCATTAGCTTCCAGTCAGTCATAGAAAAAGAGAACTTCAAAGTGCATGAGAAGAAGCGGAATGTGAAGACAAAGACATATCGTACAAGAACAAGTTTACCGAGTGCATATGTTGCTGACTTCCCGCCTATGTTAATACCATTCATAAAGTTGATGAAAGACGTAGATGGTGATGGGAATTATGGATTTAGAGCTATTGCAGGTTTACTTGGTCTTGGAGAGAATGATTGGGTGCAAGTTAGGCGTGATCTACTACTTGAATTGAATAATCATAGAGATGAATACGTCGTACTATATGGGTCGCATGAGAGGGTTAAGGAGCTGACACACATCCTTTCATATTTTGAAAATAGCCCAAGCTTTGATTGTTGGATGACTATGCTTGATACGGGGCATCTTATTGCATCATTTTATAATATAGTCTTGTACCACTTGTCATTGCAACAGTGTCTCACTTTCTTACCTTTGAGATCACCGCCAGTAACCCTAGCTGATCGTCGCAAGATTGCCATTGGATTTGTCAATGGAAATCATTTTGTGCAGGTAAAAGTTATGAAAATAACTAAATATTGTTGTCTAATATTTGTGTAATTGTAAATTTTATGTATTTGGTAAAGATATGTAATTTTTTGGATGTACGTGCAGGTGTTTTTGGAAGCTGGTCATCCAGTTCCTCCCATTGTCGTGCTTTGGCGAGTTCACCATCACCCTTGTGCGTTAGAATGCATATATTAGACGCGTTCAAAAATTTGAAGACAACATAGGACTTAATGTAGCTACTCGAGAGACATTTGATGTAGTTGACATAGATTGAGGTATTACAGAGTAGTAATGACAGCTTTAAGTCATTAGTTTTTATGATTTACTAGCATAGAGTAACGAGATAGATATCATTTTTCCATTGGATTTTGTAATGGCCAGTTTTTTTTTGAAAGATAGAATATTATATGCGTTATAGTTCTTTAATTTATGGAATGGATGTCATATTATTTTTACATTGTCTGAACACAAAACGTAATAAAAATAATATTAACCAAGTGCAATTGCTGTTAAAAAAGTAATAAGATTAAACAAGTATGTAAAAAATAAATATATATACACAATAATAGTTCAATCCATCCATACCATCACAAACTACATGTGTGCTTGTACATAATCCGAAAAATACATAATCCGAAGATAATAATAATATTTGTCTCCTTATACATCCACCAACATCATCAGAAACTACTTGTGTTAACATTATGAACTACTATTAACTACGTGACCGGCGAGTGTAATGTGCTCCAAAACGATGTGCAGTGGAAGAGCTGGCTGCAAACCGACCCTGAGTGGATGTGTTGGACGCAGCTTCACTAATGTGTTGATCTTGAAGAAGTTGTTCGATTGCATCAATCGCGTAGTAAAGCCTACTAGGATGTTGAACATTGTCCTCATAGCCAGCCTCAATGAAAGGATGAGTAATCTAATGTATCTGTGACATACGCTGCATTACGAGAACAAATATAACATTATGTACAAACTTGTAATAGTTTACATAAATAATTTGCAATGTAAATGAAAAAAGTATACCTGTGCGTCTTAGCTAGGATATTGATAATGATGGATATTCGGGTCCACTTGAGAACGACGCGCTGGGTTTTGTACATACATATGGGTAATGGTTTGGTACCAATCCATGTAACCAAGAACACAATCCCAAGGTTGCCATACCGGTGTACTCCTCCTCCGATCAGATAACACATGGTTGTTCCATGCCTCCCAAATGATGTCCAAGTATGCATACATAACATTTGTAGCGTGGAGCTGTGGCTCCTCGAGAAGCCCGCATAGGGCCAAGTGGTGGATTAGGGATTGTCTGTACTCTGCCAAACTGTCTCAACACTCTATCAGGGTGATATGGTTCAACTACTTCCAAACACTTGAGGCAACCGTGGTAGAACGTAACTGGATGACATGGATGGACATCTCTACAACTCTGATACGAGTCCCAAATAACCTACAAACAATAATAACTGTAAGATATGACAACTGTAAATTTTGTATGATATAGAGTTTCAAGTTTTGAAGGACTTTTCAACTTACATCATGTACACCCAACCTATCAAGCTCCTCTCGAAAAGCCTGCAACTGTGTCTCTTCACTAGACTCTCTCCGAGAAGTCCAACGGTAAACATGTGGCATGTCTCAAGTGTAATTCATATTCAAGTGTGGTCGGAATCCACGAAAGTGCTCATAAATCCATCCCTCAAGGAGTGTCATGTAACCGGCTATTTGTTTCACGCCGGACCTGCTAGCATACCCCAACTGTCTATATAAGTATGCTAATGCAGCAGCACCCCAAGCATATGAAGATACAGTCATCAAATCGGACAATAAACTCAAATAAACAACAGGGAACCTAGTACAAGTCTTGTCACTGAAAAGTGTACAACATAACAAAAATAGCAAGTGTGCTCTACCTGCACATGCAATTCTTTCTATTGAATCATTGTCTGTGACATTATGAAAGTGTGCCCTCAACCATTTAAGCCTCACTGAATTGCCTCCAGCATTACATATCTCATGTCTGACGTCTTGCTCATCAATTTCCAAGGTATTAACTACTAATGCAATGGCCCACCTTTCTGACAATTTACGCACACTAATAGATTTGCCTATAATGGGAAGCCCTAGGATAGTGGCGACATCGTCCAATGTGATAGTCATCTCTCCAACAGTCAAATGGAAGGTGTTTGGCTCTGGTTGTCGTCTCTCAACAAAACTAGACACTACAATTTTATTGACAAAACGGTACGTGCAACGAGCTAATTGTGTAAGTCCTGACATCTCCACAATGTTTACAAATGTAGCGTTGTTTCCTTGTTCCCACCACGGCCACGAACGAATCTTAGATGAGTGATTATGACACTTTAGGGGCCCTCTTTCATCAGCACCATTCCAAATAGTTGCGGCAAGATGACTTTTAAAACTTTTAAGGATTGATGGATCAGTTGGACCTCCCGGAATGGCTGAGTAAGGACATCTTCAACAACAATGTCAGCATCATCACCAGTAGGGTCATCATCCATAGCAATATCATCCATAACTGGTACACCATGTATAGGATCATCATCCATGGCAATGTGCATGTCATCATCATGCACTCGGGCACGTCCACGTCCACGTCCACGTCCACGTCCATGTCCACGTCCACATCTCTCTAATTCACGGAGTCTTCTGTTCGAAGCTATTACTGACCGACGTTTACTAGGACCGACATCCATCTGCATAAGAAAAGTTGTTCTTATTAACCCAATATAATGAAACATAATAAGCACTCCCATAAAAGGATCACATCAATGCAGGTAACAAGTAGCCTAACCATGCCACCTTAATGAAATCTAATACGCAATTATAAACCATTAAATTCACAATTTGGATGATGTGAAATTAACAAAATAAGTTAAATACATAACCCTATCACTTATGAAAGATTTAGACTAGGATTTGTTGAAAAATTACAATGCAAACATGGATATAGTAAAACTATTTGCATTCTATACACACCATTCATCAATTAGTTTGGTTGATGTTCTCAACATGCGAAAAACAGATTAACTTCATTTCAGCCAATTTACCAAGGCAACATGGTCATTAATCAATACCAACATCATTTTTCAAACAATCAAAGGACTGCCCATCACTTGTCTTTGTACATGCCATTGATTGTAAACTTCTTGAAGTTGTAAGCATACAACCAAAGACCAAATTTGGCACCAATTTCAATGCTTTGAAATGACAAACCCCAAAGGCAAAATAACTCAAGCTTTAATACTCTATATAATGCAATTGTTTTGTTCAGATATTTAGTTAACAAAATTTATGAAGACCCAACTACTAAGCTAACAATATCATGTGGAAATACCAATATGGCACAGATTTTTGTTTCTATTGTTATGCATTCAATTTCGTGAAAAAAAATAAATACATAAACATACCCATAAAATAAAATTGTTGGAAAAGAACCTAAAGTAAAACAAATATTGGTGGCCTATGTAACCTAGTTCTATATCAGAAAAAAAAAACCCAATTCGGCAAAAAAAAAAAAAAAAAAAAAAAAAAAAACCATTTGACACTTCAGGACCGAAAATACAAACATATTTCAACAATGAAGTACCGAAATTATTGCAGTTATTCGGTATTACAGATCCGAAAATATATAATACATTTGGAGTTAAAAGGGCAAACTCATGTATTTTTTTTCGGAATTCATTGGTCGAAATTATACATAATATTTGGAAATCAAGGGCCGAATGAAACACACATCTTCGGCAACCCAGTGCCGCGATCTACACAGCACTTACAGCTACGGGAAAAACATACTTTTATGCCAATGGAGTGAAGAGAGATCCGAAAATTGTCAATGTAATATCAAAATAATAAATGTAATAATAAAATTAAAAGATTTCTTACCTTAAACAAGATTTTCAACAGTGTTTAGTACATATTCAATGGAGCTCACGAAATCTTCAATGGAGGTGAGGAAAGTGCAGATTTTTTTTTTTTTTTTTCCTGTTTGAACTTCTTCTTCTTCCTGTTTGAACCAAGGCACTTTGGTCCTCACCAAAGTGGGTGGAAGTAGATATGTAAATTGGGGTAAATTGAAGTGCGTGTACTTGAGGGTAAAGTGTGTGTACAAGTTACGAGTAAAGGATTTATTTGTAATTTTAAGGATGTGGATTGAGATAATTATTTAATAATTGAATTAATAGGGATGTGTATTGAGAAAAGATTTGCCCTGAGTTTACTCAGAAAAGGAAAAGGTTGAGTGAGAGAGAAAGAGAGAGAGAGACTGCGGTTCAGTGGAAATTTCTTTTAACGGCTCCATATCTGTGTAGAAGGTAATCCAGGTCCAACTGGGAAATGGGTTGTGGGCCAAACTGTGCGGCCGAGGTCTTTTGCTTCTAATGTTGTGTTTGGTTGAGAGATTTAGGAAAAAAATTTTTAAAAAAAGGAAAAAAGTAGATATTTTACCTAATTTCATACACATTTTCTTTTTCTCTTTCTAAATTTCTTCCCAAATCCCCCAACTAAACACAGCATAAGTTTTTCTATTTTTCTGATGGTTTTATTAACAAGTGTTCTTAGAACATTTGTTAACGATGAATTAAAATTTCTCAACTAACTCCATTATCATGAAAAATTAAAAAGATTTTAAATGTGCCTTTCATAGAGACCAAATTACCTTTTTTTTCAATTCTTGTTATTTTAATATTTTTTTTTATAATTTTCATAATGAATTTTCTTAAGGACAAATAACATATCAAAGAAAATCACAAAAAATATATATATATATATATTTATATATTAATAATTATAATTATAATTTTTTCAACCAATGCGTAATTGTCACGCCTAGAATTTTTAATTACTCGGAAATATTACCAAGAACTTGAAATTTAGGTCCATTTTTTTTTTAAAACAAATATCTATTACCCTTGAGTAATAGAAACATAACAGTGTAGCTCGCCTTTTTTCGCGCCCCCTTTCGGAAACTCGAAAAGAAAGCACTACAGCTCAAACTCCTGTGATTTTGAATCTAATCTCACAAGTGTAATATGAAATTGATAAACACCAAAGAGTCCAAATCTGACAAATCGTTTTGAAAAATTGATTTTAAATCAAAAAGTGCCAAAATTGGACTGCTTTGCTAGATACAGAGTCGCCACCTAAATATTTTATTTTTGGAGAAATTTTGGAAACCCATGACTCGTGCCGAAGGCCACGTATCCGTCATCACCAAAGTTGCCTTGACTCGGGAACTTAGGTACGAGAAGGGAAGGTCATGAATTGAGCACCCTTGCTCGCTCGATCAAAGATCAGCCTCTACTAATCATGATATGATTTTTCATTAACATTATGTGCTCTTGTTCTGGTTATTAAACTAGTTTTACTATGTGATGCGCACAAACAAGTATAAACTAGTTTGCTCAAATTGGAACAATTCAATTTCATGTTTGTTTTGCGAAAAGGGTTTGAATTTGTCACCTCAGGTGAACTTAAAGTTGCAAATTTGCCACCAAACATAGTGGGCTTAAAACTGATTTGTCACTCAACAAAGTGGGCTTAAAACGCGCATTTATTAAATCGTTTCAATTCAAATAACAAGCCTTCATCCATGGGCATTCAAGCAATTTAGCAAGTAAGCATTTAGTCTCATAGAAAGCATGCTTGACATGACAACATTCACACTCATGCAAATATGCTAAAGCATAAAAACTCACCTAGTACTCCAAGCTAAGAAGATATGAGAGTTAGAAAAATATACATGATTCCTAACTATACAAAATGTCTAATGCAACAAATGCAATAATGCAATTAATAGGTTCGGCTACTAATATGACATATGATTCAATTAAATAGCATGTGGTTTAAGCATGTATTCAAAGAAGGTAATGAAATGACAATGCGGTTTGAGTGATGCGCCAAGCCTTGGTGCATGCAATACGAATGAATGAATGCAAGCATAAGGTATGCTAACTGAAACATATCTCTAATCTAACCATCAAAAGTAGGTAAATAAAAGGGAGAAAGACGTGAGGTTAGAAGACATACACATTATTACATTTTGCTCTCACGACGGAAAGTCCGAATGAATAAACTAAACTAACTAGCAATTATTTAAGCTAATTAAGCTAATTATTACAAACCAAATGAAATAAATAGTTAAACTAATTAACTAATTATTACAACACTTTTAACGAACTAGTAAGCTAACTAATTAATTTACAACACAAATGTAAACAACCTAAGCTATTAACATTTCTAATTATGCTGCCACTACTCCACCTCGGGAAGTAGAAGATGCACATGCTCGGTTTTCGCCCGAAAAGACCTCCGTTTTGCTCTCAAAAGCCTCTGTTTATAGAGTTGAACATTTCCAGAACCTTTTTGCTCCACCTTACCAACATTCTGCTGAAGTTTACATCAGTGGCCAGCCGGCCATGGATGAATGCTGCCGGCCATTTGTCGGCCAAAAAGGTGTACTGCCAACCATCTATGGTGCACTGCCGGCCACTGATGCACTTGATCACCATGCTGCAGCAGAGTACAAACAGAGTAAAAAGAAGGTTTTTCCAAGGATTGTCTGCACAATTCACCTCTCCTTTTCATGGACAAATCCAAGGATTGATGAACTTAAGCCACAAATCACTAATTCAAGCAATTTCATTGCATGATGGCTTGTGATTCAAGAGGTGCAAATTCAATGAATGCAAAACAAGACACTAGAGAACCATTACCCTATCATGCATGATCAAGGGCAATGGAGACCTAGGAAACTTGAGACATTTTATCACTTTGAGTATGAAATGTCCCAATTTTCCTTGTGTTCAATTAATTTCCGATTGAATACACAACACACAAGTTATTATCTTGTTCAATTTTAGTCTCAAGTTGTTAGTTACTCATTTTAACTTACCAACCATTACTTAGTCAAATTAAGTCCAAATGGTGAATTAGAGTCTTCTAATGGAAATAAGGCTCAAAACACAAGTTGCTTTGGGTATGAAAGAAGTCTCATACCGTTGGTAATGAACCTCCAAAGGGATTAAACTATTAAGTATGAAACCTCAATTCCACACTTAGGCAAACAAATGACTTGAAACAACTTTCAAAACAAAAAGAAAAAGCAAGAAATGAGGGAGGTTGCAGAGGTGATTAATGTTGAAATGAAGTATGAAAAGCCCAAAATAAGTACTATCAACTCAAATAAGTGATGTCTAAGACCTAAAACATTAAGCTTATAAGGACTATTACACTAGAAGCATGCAAAGCAAAGCTCAAAC